TGTAGAGATGGGGTTTCACCATGTTGCTCAGGCTGGTCTTGAACTCCCAGGCTTAAGCTTTCACCTGCCTTGGGCTCCCAAAGAGCTGGGATTACAGGTGTGAGCCAACTACAACCGGTCAACACTTCTTAGCTTTAATTTTTAGTGAAGTAAATGTTCATAGGTATGATGCATAAACAAAAATTCTTTGGGGGTATTCAATAACTTCTAAGAATATAAAGAAGTAATGAGACTACAAAAGAAATATAAGAACAAATCATGTCTTGGGCCAGGTGTGGTGGCTCATGCCTGTAATCCCAGCACTCTGGGAGGCTGAGGTGGGTCAGGAGTTCAAGACCAGCCTGGCCAAGATGGTGAAAGCCTGTCTCTACTGAAAAAAAAAAAAAAAAAAGAAAAGAAAAAAGAAAGGAAAAATCAGCCGGGTGTGGTGGCACGTGCCTGTAATCCCAGCTACTTGGGAGGCTGAGGCGGAAAAGTGCTTAAACCTGGGAGGTGGAGGTTGCAGTCAGCCGAGATCGCACCACTGCACTCCAGCCTGGGCGACAGAGCGAGACTCCATCGAAACAAAAGAAAAACAAAAACAAAAACAAATCATGTCTCTTCTTTCAAGGTACAGAGCATAATATTGGCCAGGCATGGTGGCTCGCACCTGTAATCCCAGTACTTTGGGAGGCTGAGGCAGGAGGATCACTTTAGTCTAGGAGTTTGAGACCAGCCTGGGCAACACAGAGAGACCTCATCTCTCCCAAATATAAAAAAATGAGCTGGGCATGGTGGCGTGTGCCTGTGGTCCCAGCTACTTGGGAGGCTGAGGTGGGAGGATCACTTGAGCCTGGAAGCTTGCAGCTGCAGTGAGCTGTGATCATGTCCTTCCTTGCACTCCAGCCTGGGCACAGTGAGTCTCTGTCTCAAATAAAATGACAACAACAAACCATAAAACATTCTAATTGAATACTCCTAAAAACGTTGTTTCTCTAATGATATAAATGCAGCCCTATAGCATGCAATTTGGTAAACTTTCCTTGCTCTTGGTATTTATTGATTGAAGGTACTACTTTCCTTGAGTAACTCTTACAATTGAGAGAGAGTGACTAAGAAAGACATTTGTCTAAAGCCATAATCAATATTTTGAATCAAAAACTGTGAACTAATATATGCCAGTTGGTGGTAAGAGGCACTAACAGAAGTGGCCAAAATCAAATCATTAAAAGCAAACTGAATTTCTACTGGCAGAATCAGGATTCAGGATCAAAACTAATTTTTTAAAGAAAAATGAGACATGAGTAAGCCAGATACTATTCCATACTCACCGAAACGGTTAGTGAATCCTGTACATCTTTATGACTAACCAACTGAACATTGCCATCTTCATAATAGTGAACCTGTGTGAGACAACGTTTGAGCATTTTTAGGGAAGTTCATAGAGAAACCTGTTACTTAGGACAGAAATCCATGCTTTATCTTTTAGATGATGAGCCATTTTATCAATGCTGAACAAATAGTTAATATAACTAACGATAATTCACAATGATGGTTAATTAATCCACAGAACATTAAGAATGCTTTTTCCTTAGCAGGGAAAACTGATTATTAAGTTCGACAAACATTTGTTATGTGCTTTTCACATTCTAAGCACTGTGCTAGGCATTGCAAATACAAAGGTAAGTAAGATCCCACTCTTAACAATATTAAAATAATTAAAGTCATTAAACATTAGCTTTTCTCTGTGAAAACCAAGGATTTTTAATAGATCCTAATACCTAATATCTAGCACATTTCTCCATTTTGGTAAGCAGATCTGAATAGATACAGGAAAAGTCTAATTGAGGGTGAAAGATGGACAGAAAACAAGTATTTTATTGGTAAAGCAGATATTTTTAAAAAGATAAAAGTAGTTCTGAATAAAGTGAAGAGCTATAATTATGAAAACAATTAGTAAAAAGGAGGAGACAGACTAACAAATCGATGACATTTTAGGTTCAGTAAGTTTTGGCAACTTAGAAGATAGGTTTAGTCACCCTGACAAGGCTACTAACTGGTCATACAGAAAAGGATAAGGGTATCCTTTTGTGCATTTGAATAGGATCTTGAAAGAAGCAGTTGTTACCTAAGTGGACAAGGTAGAGAAGGACATCTACCAAGGAGATAAAAAATATAACAGAATGGAGTGTAACTGGTTTAAAGAAGAACAAAGAACTCACTGCATATGAATATGTACAAAAAAGGAGTGTGGCAGGAAACGTTGCTATGAAGTTGGAGAAATAGACTGTGAAGAACAAAACACTTTATAAACCTTGTTAAGAATTCAGACTACTCAGGAGGCTAGGATGGGAGGATCACTTGAGGCCAGAAGTTTAAGACCAGCCTGTGCAATATAGCAAGATCCCCATCATAGGGAAAAAAAGAATTCGGCTATCCTATTATAGGTGGCACATAGGAAAAGGAATGTTTTAGAAAGATTACACTTGTGCCATGAAGAAAATAAAATGGAAGTAGCTGATATTAGAGCCATAATGCTAGAACAATAGTCCAGGTAATGCCATTTACCTAGTGCTACGATCTGAATGTTGGTGCCTTCCCAAAATTCTTATGTTGGAATCTAATACCAAATGTGACAGTATTAAGAGGAGAGGCCTTTGGGAAGTGATTAGGTCATGAGGGTGAAGCCTTCATGGGATTAGTGCCCTTCTAAAAGAGGTTCAGTCAAGCTCCCTTGCCACTCTTCTACCTCATGAGAACACAGCGTTTACCCCTTCTGTCACATGAGAATGCATAAGGTATCACCCATGAGAAACAGAACTTGCCAGACACTGAATCTAACAGCATCTTGATCTTCAACTTCTTACTCTCCAGAAGTGTGAGAAATACATTTCTGCTGTTTATAAATTACCCAGTCCAAGGTATTGTGTTATAATAGGCCAAACAAGGCCAGGCACAGTGGCTCATGCCTGTAATCACAGCCAAGGTAGATGGATCACTTGAGGTCAGGAATTCGAAAACAGTCTGGCCAACATGGTGAAACCCCACCTCTACTAAAAATACAAAAAAATTAGCCAGGTGTGGTGGCAGGCGCCTGAAATCCCAGCTGCTCAGGAGGCTGAGGCAGGAGAACTGCTTGAATCTGGGAGGCAGAGGTTGCAGTGAGCTGAGATCGTGCCATGGCACTCCAGCCTGGGTAACAGAGAGACTGTCTCAAAAAAAAAAAAAGCCCAAACAAACTAAGATATCTGGTCTATGCTACCAGGAGATATCTGAACAAAACAGGATGCTTTGAGGGATAAAGCAGAAAAGGGAAAGAGAAGAACAACAATCTTCACTTACTTCATTTCACTTACTTAGTAATCTTAGCTGTGGTAGCTATTAGTTATTAAGCCTTTACTATGTGTTAGACACTGTGCAAACACTTCACCATTACTGATATTCCCTCATTTAATCACTACAAAAACTATTAGATGAGGATTACTACTAACCCTATTTTACAGCTGAGGAAACAGACTTGCTTTGAGGCAGTTATTAAACAATAACTTATCCATGTTCACATACCAAGTAAGAGGAGGAGCCAGGATTTGAATTAGGTCAAATTCCAGAGCTATTCAACATGTGTAAGGCCGGGCGCGGTGGCTCACGCCTGTAATCCCAGCACTTTGGAAGGCCGAGGCGGGTGGATCACGAGGTCAAGAGATCGAGACCATCCTCGTCAACATGGTGAAACCCCGTCTCTACTAAAAATACAAAAAATTAGCTGGGCATGGTGGCACGTGCCTGTAATCCCAGCTACTCAGGAGGCTGAGGCAGGAGAATTGCCTGAACCCAGGAGGCGGAGGTTGCAGTGAGCCGAGATCGCGCCATTGCACTCCAGCCTGGGTAACAAGAGCGAAACTCCGTCTCAAAAAAAACAAAACAAACAAACAAACAAACAAAAAAAAAACATGTGTAATACCTCCCAATGCTATGTTTTGTCAAAAAGTTAGGAATTCCTTGATCTAGGTAGAAATAAAGTGTCTCAGCAGGGGCTGACTCTTTGTGGATATCATTAGAAGGGCATAACAGCTAAGCTCCATCTACCTATTTGCAATAAAAAGACTTCCCTGGACAACATGAACCTCCTACATATCCTTAAAGGACAAAAATAAGTATCTTCTTTAATGGGTACAAACAGCTGGCTCCATCCAGATGGGCAGAAGAAGCTAGACTTTCCACACCCTCTCTAAACCTTGAAGTTTTACCTTTTGGCTTTTTACGAGGTTAAAGAAGAAAAGGCAATATAAGAATCCACTGAGAACAGGCAGTGGCTCACACCTTTAATCCCAGCCCTTTGGGAGGCCAAGGCGCGCAGATCACTGAGGTCAGGAGTGCAAGATGAGCCTGACCAAAATGGCAAAACCCCGTCTCTACTAAAAATACAAAAAAAATTAGGTGGGTGTGGTGGTAGGTGCCTGTAATCCCAGCTACTTGGAAGGCTGAGGCAGGAGAATCATCTGAACCCAGGAGGTGAAGGTTGCAGTGAGATGAAATTGTGCCACTACATTCCAGCCTGGGCAACAGAGCGAGACCAGAATCCACTGGAGACGAAATGAAAATCCATTGGAAAAGAAGGGCAATAATGAGAACCACTAATATTTACATGTAAAATCAGAACAGCAAAGATGTGGGCAAAAAAGACTAGGCTAAATGATGACATATAAAGGTTAAAATCCCAATAGATAAGAATATTTAAAATATAGGTAGGTCATACTCAAATATCAGCTTTGTTTTTTCATTAAAAACTAGATGGTTCTTTCATTAAAAAGAACATTTGGTAGGGGAATGAGTACAAACAGGATGGGAGATATGTAAAAAAAAAAAAAAACTCAAGAGAGCTAGCTATAGAAGAAACAAGATCCTTTGCATTTCCCAGAACTCGTCTGAAGAAAGGAGGTTATGCAGAGCACATTCATGTTGTTCAAGAATAAAGACTATGCAATTAGTTTGAGCTTCTGTTATGTTTCTTAATTAGGACATGGAAAAGAATATACAGTAAGGTCAATAAGCCTCACTGTTTATGATCTCAATAAAAAATTCCAAAATATATTCATTACCTAATACACTAATGATATTATAATGTTTAGAAATTAACCCAGCCTGGACAACACAGTGAGACCGTGACTCTAAAAAAAAATAAAAAAATAAAAAATAGCCAGGTACAGTGGTGTGTGTTTCTACTACCAGGTACTTGGGAGGCTGAGGTGGGAGGATCATTCAGTTGAGGAGTTCGAGGTTGCAGTGAGCTATGAAAGCACCACTGCACTCCAGCCTAGGTGACAGAGTGAGACACATCATTTCAAGAAATAAATTAAGCTCAAATTATATGTGTTCTAACACCTTTTCTAGGTCTCATCTGCTAATATGAAAATGATTCAATTAACTAATACAAATTTCAAAATGACTGCCATCAACATAAATCCTCCGAAATTGTTGCCTTCTCAGAATGATGTTTTTGCCTATAGACTAGCCTGAAAGGCTAAATATCTTAATGACTTTTCCAAATAATTTTCACTCCAAAATTTAAAAGATATGCAAATAAATTAAGCCTTCCCCGAAAGTGTGATCAATCTGTGCTTAAAAAGGTTTAAATGTTGGTCTGTACACTGCTTACCAGAAATTATCACACTTTGTGATGTGTGCTCGTTTCACAGGTTTGCACTGGCTAAAATACAAATGGCTGTTTCTATCCAGAAACAAAATGAAACTTACTTACATAAAATTGACAGTAAGCTTCCTTACTATAATGCTGATACCACAGTTACAGGAAGTTAATGCTGATGCCATAGTTACAATAGGTCCAAGAGTGTTAGGCTACTAACATATTTGGTTAACAGAAACAGAACAATATGCTGTTTTATGTTGCACCTTCCTAGAAGCTGACCCTAAGACAAAGATTAGAGCAAAAGTAATTTATTCAGGAGCAAATCCCACAGAGCTACAACAGGGACAGAAGTGAGACACATGAGGAGAGGAAGCCTTACAGGTACATTTATGAGCAGGTTATAGTTGTGGGCATTAAGCTCTGGAAAACTAAAAAGAACATGCTTCAGAGTTGTCCCACTTGAGGAAGCTGCCATATTTACCAACTCTTACATATCACTGAGGGCTGCTCCAAGAGCTATGAACTCAACACCAGCCTGTCTCACCTGAGTAGGGCATGCTCCTATGGCCAGGAGCTACTTGTTGCAGGAAGCTACAGGTATATATGAAAAGAGCAGATTTATTTTTACAGAATTTATTCCCAAACACTTCATTAAATTAGAGCATTAAAAAAGATAACTCTTGGCAGGGTGCGGTGGCTCAACTGAGGTCAGGAGTTCAAGATCAGCCCGGCCAACATGGTGAAATCCATGTTTACTAAAAATACAAAAATTAGCTGGGCGTGGTGGTGCACACCTGTAACTCTAGCTACTTGGGAGGCTGAGGCAGGAGAACTGCTTGAACCCAGGGAGGCAGAGGTTGCAGTGAGCCAAGATCCCACCACTGCACTCCAACCTGGGAGATAGAGCGAGACTGCATCCAAAAAAAAAAAAAAAAAAAAAAAGAAAAAAAAAAAAAAAAAAAAAAAAAAAAAAACTCTTGGTAATTGTTGTTAAAGCATAGCTTAACACAATATAATATAGGTACAAGTAGGTACTGATCTTCTCAGTTATCTATACCTACTCTGACCTTAGAGCTAGTGAGGCTTAAAAATTAAACCACCCTAAATTTAAAGTCAAATCTCTGCTAGGATATTAAATTTCAATCCACATAGGTATCAAATGAGTTAAAAGCTATCTTATTCAGGTGCCTGTCTACCCTGACATCAGCATTAGAAATCTACTTCTGGGCTGGGCGCAGTGGCTCACACCTGTAATCCCGGCACTTTGGGAGGCTGAGGCAGGCGCATCACTTGAGGTCGAGAGTTCAAGAACAGCCTGACCAACACCGAGAAACCCCATCTCTTCTAAAATTACAAAACTAGCCGGGTATGGTGTGTATGCCTGTAATCCCAGCAACTCGGGAGACTGAGGCAGGAGAATCACCTGAATCCGGGAGGCAGAGGTTGCAGTGAGCTGAGATCGAGCCATTGCACTCCAGCCTGGGCAACAAGAGCAAAACTCTAAGAAATCTACTTCTGCTTGGCTATTTATATTCCAAAACACTAGCCATTCTCTCTCTGGGGTAGGGGGCAGAGGTTGCAGTTAGCCGAAATAATGTCACTGCACTCCAGTCTGGGTGACAGCGTGAGACTCTATCTCAAAAAATAATAATAATTATTATTAATTTTAATTCTTTCCTAAAACTCTGTTTGATAATTCCTAGAAATATTTTATGTTACCTTTAAAGGAAAAATAACAATAATTATGTTGCCATATACTCTATATACTATCCTTTAACAACTCAGAATAGCTTTGTTCACCTCCCCAAGAAGGAAGCTTCTATTTCTATTCACTGCCAGCAATCTCCCTTTGCATCTACATATACTTGGTCCTTATTTAATACCAGAGCAACTTGTACATGTTTTAAAGATGTGAAATTTTAAGTCTATAAACATGTTGGAATCTCACCTGAATCTTAAGCACTCCAACCACCTGGGCTGTAGGTGGTGTGATGGTGAACTTCCACTCTGATCTCCAACGACCATTCCTATTAAAACACACATATAACATTGCAGAATTAGCAATAAGCACAAGAAAGAGGTGATCTGCCAGTGAGGTACGGAAGTTGGGAAAGAGGGGTGCAAAAAAAGGAAAAAAAAAGCGTTATTTCCAGTTTGACAAACTCAAAGCTCTGTCTACTCAAATATAAGTTTGGATCTAAGTGGCCTGACCATAAGCCTTTTCTAAGTTATTTTGACTTCCATTTTTCCCTTGAAATGGAAAACCATGCCTATTCTGCTCATGGGAGGCTCTTCCAAAATCAGATGAATAGGCTGCCAAGTTATACAATTAACTCAAGTAGCATTAACCCTAACCCAAGTAAAACTCAGGTTTTCAACTGGGCACGTTACTAATCACTTGTTGTCACTCAAAATAAGAGTAACTTTTAAAGGAAAATATAATTATAAAGCCTTAGAACTGTAAGAAATCTAAATAATGTCTAAATCCTTCATTTATACATAGGAAACTGAAGTCTGTAAGTTAAATAATTATTCCAAGCTAGCTAGATTAAAAACCAAGTCTCAATTGCTGGCTTCCTTCCTATATAAATGAGATATAAATAGAAGAGAATATCTATTTCTTACCAGAAGTTTTTAGGCTGAAACTGGTGGCTTTCAATACATGCAATAATAGTCTGTTGCCCATCAATAGTTTTAGCATAAACCTATTGTTTAGAAAAAAAAAAAGTTAAGACTCCAAACATATATTTAATTTAAACAACATGCATTGTACAAAAGCAGTGTGTTAAATCCTTTGGGGAGACAAAGAATCAGATAAAATGAGCTTACAACACAATAGTGTTCATGGGATATGAACACAAAGCAGAACATACTAGGTTCTACCAGAGACAGTGATACAATGAAAACAGAGGGAAATACTGCTCCTGGTTTGGGGTACAAGGCAAATGCCATTGAGGCTGGGTCTTACAAGACAGATGAAATTCTGATAAGCAGAGACTGAGAATAAATGTGAGACAGGAAACTGAGGGCTTGTTCAGTGAAATCGCTGATAATTCCGTCAGGTTTAAAGGGTTTGTGGTGAAGTGGACTAATAAAAGACAAAACAGAATGGTAGATTTAGGTCGTGTAATAGTAGATGTAAAGTAAGAAGTTTAAGACTTTATTCTACAGGCATTGGAGAGATAGCAAAACATGACTAGAACTAAGAATAATCAATACTGGTATACAAGGTAAAACAGAAGAAAAGCTGACGCTTGGTTAGGATGCCACAGGATTAATCTGGGCAACAGCCAGAGTTGTATTAATGAGAACGGAAAGGAAGAGCTGCATACAGAATGTAGAAATACAATCAAACTCTAGCAGTATATGGCGAATGAAGGGCAAAGGAAAGAAGGAACTTAAAGGGTGACTAAAAAGATAGCAGTGTCATTAACCAGGAACTACAGATGGAGATGTCTAGTTAGTAGTTAGAAACACTAACTCTTCCTTAGTGTGGGAGAGGTGAATGGAAATGCAATCACCAAGGGAAAGAAAAAAAAAAATAGTGCTTTATAGTCCACAAAATATGTTTCTACATATATTTTCTTTTACCTACAATAAATCTGATAAAATATATTGTTATCATCTACAGATGAGAAAGTTAAAGTTCACAAAGCTTCTTGCCTAAGGTCACTCAGAAAGTGGTAAAGGCAGAATCCAAACCCACTGTTTTTGTGACACCGAAGTCTGTGTTACTTTACCTGCATTAAATGACTATGAACTTTGGGGAATGCCTACATTTACAAAGGTAGGGGAAAAAAGAATGCAGTACAAACAGAGTAACAATAATTACGCCAGACACAGTGGCTCATGAGGTCAGGAGATCGAGTCCATCCCGGCCAGTATGCTGGAACCCTGTCTCTACTAAAACACAAAAAATTACCTGGGTGTGGTGGTGGGCATCTGTAGTCCCAGCTACTTGGGAGACTGAGGCAGAAGAATTGCTTGAACTCGGGAGGTGGAGTTTGCAGTGAGCTGAGATTGTATCACTGCTACACTCCAGCCTGGCAACAGAGTGAGACTCTGTCTCAAAAA